GCTGTGTACACCCCATTTTGCGAAGTTTACTCGATACTGATTTCCATCACTATTTTTCGGCTTTCTTAACGACGGAATTGTTTTAAAAATCTAAATTTATTCTAAAACATCAAGGAAGTATACTTTTATCATATCATAGAAAGAAATTTTATTTTATAAAAAAATCACGAAGAAATAAAATAAAAAAGATTTTAGCCTCGCTTTCATGTCCGTGCCAAGCCTTAAATCACCTGAGTGTTTATAGGAACCAAGATGAACCTGTTGGTGACGAATTAACGAACGTTTGTTCATTTCAGGGCATCAGAAGCATTGAGGGAGAAATTCTTCGATGCAGACTTATGGCGTTTGACACACAAGAAAAGCCAATTGAACCCGGCCCAGGAAGACTTTCGCGTTTGGTGCCAGTTCCACAACATTTTTAGGAGATGGGAAGAGATTTCCTAACCTCTCAGCTGCAGGAACTCAAAAGCGACTTAACGCAGAGCGAAGCTGTTCAAGTATGCGATTGTAAGRCCTAGACGTTTACAAGAGATTGCTCGTAGATGTCCGCGGTTTGCGGTTTGCAAAGAAGAGGGTTTGCGGTTTGCGGTTTGCAAAGAAGAGGGTCAGTGGATGTGCTCCATACATCGTTGCAGCGATTTGAAATGACAGAAAGATTTCTGTCAAATGGCGTTGCACACCCAAGGTATGAAAGCTATACCGATCAAAGGCTTATGGGCGCATTTGCTTCCGCACGCCAAAGTGCCAAAGGAGCTTTTGGCGACCCCGAGAGACGTGAGTTCGTCCATCCTTCTTTGTATCGAATTGAACATCGTCGCATGGTCATTGATATGAGAAAAAGAAGTTGGCCTATCTACTGGGAGTGAAGAGCAAACCGTTGTATTATTACCCCCGTCGGGGATAAAATCAATTAGTTTCTGCTYGGCCGATTGATGGGTTGATCAATTTGTTGTCGGTTGGTTGATTTGTTGTTTGGTTGGTTGGTTGATAGGTTAGTTTGTTAGTTAGGCTGCTGGCTGATTGGCTGGCCATCTAGCTAGCTAGCTGATCTATAGACCAACGAGAGCAACTAATATGCGAGCCTGCGAGCCAGAGCCCCTTTCTTCGAGCCTCAAGCCTATTTTTTTAGCCTTTCTTTCGAGCCTTTTCTATTTTAATTTTTCTTTTTATTATATTTTTGTGTTTCTTTTTTTTTTAGCACAACTGTCATTTAGTATTTAAAACGAAAAGTTACTTTGTGGTCAAAAACATTAAGTGGCGTGGTCAGATTTTATTGCAAATTTAAGCTTACTTCAAATTTTCTAAAACAACTAAACTTACGTACCGTTTTCTCAAAAACATRGGAGGATTGACGTGATGCCTAGAGACAATTATCTAGAACTAGCGGCTCTCCCAAGATTACCTTTACGATGTTGGAAAGCTCCCGGCATTTAAAATTTTACACTGTAGAAGAAAAACATATCGAAAACTATCGAGTCCTATTTTGTATCAGACACAAACGCGTATACTGTACACTTTTACGGTCACAAAACCGGGATCCCTGTGGTTTCGCGAAGTGCATCATGGTATCRATRAATAATCAAGATGGTCGTCGCAAAAAAACACGTCAAGTCTATACCTGTTATCGAAGATAATATATGAGGCCTCCACTAAGATGGCTAAGAGTACCGTATGGTGCATCCAAATAAAGTCCAGTTGCCTTAAAGTGCAGTGTATACTTGAAACTCGATCCACATAATRTAGGGGGGAAGGATGTGTTGCTTGGATACAAGGCATTCAAATAAGGTACACTCATTAACATTTTTCTTTTGCGAACATGTACAAATGGACAAATAGAATTTATGCACATTTATAATAATTTTCTAATTGACGAAATTTATTTCAAATATTTGACAAAATATAACTTAAACAAATATAACAGTATACAGTCTGTGGTAAGCTTAAATATTTCCAATTGCATGCAATAACTTAAACCAAAATGTAACAAAAGGAAATACTAAAATCCTAAAAACTTCAATATAATATTTTAACTCATCAAAAAACAAACATTGTTGTGCATAATRCAACTAATTCATGAAATGGCAACACTTTAAATGAAGCATACACCACATAAAACAGTTTTCTTCATATTTCTCTATAATTAGGGAAGCTTAGTGACTGCAAACTGAATGTATATTCTTTGAAATGCAACCTTGTGTTGAAGGTTTTGTAAAATATTGAAAATGAACCACATGTTTGCATTTAATAAATAATGAAATATATTCTTAGAAATTCTTTATAGTTTTGTGTAATGTGCAATAAACATTCTATTTTAATTGTCTTACATAAACACAAATCTGAAACTGAATACAACAATATGCAAAAATTATGATCTTTTTGCCTCATATTTGAAGTATATAGAAAATACATATATGTTATTTACCGACTGGGAGGTCCGTATAGGAAAACACTGCCTGAGGTCTTGACAGTACGGAACGAGCGTAGCGAGGGCAGTATTTTCCTTTATTATATGGCTTAGATAGTACGCGCGCTCTGATTGGCTGTTGACAGATAATGACCGGTCGGTATTTTCCTGTAATGCCCGMTCACAGCGGTCAATATTTTTCGCGATTAGACCAGCTTTGACTTTGAGTAAGACGAAGAAAAAACACAATTTGAAACGCATTGCAAAACAAAGATATCCTTTTAGTTCGTTTACGAAAAAAATAAATGTTTGAAAATTTTTTATTTGCAAAATGAGAGACAACGAAAACTACAGTCAAAGTGAATTTATTAGTGCGAAGAGATTAGTGACGAGATTAGTGACGAGATTAGTGCGAAAGCCGACAAAATGGCTACAAAACAGACGAAAACCATTATATTTTTAGTACCAAACCGACGAAAATGACCAAAATCATTATATTTTTAGTAATTGTCTGCAAAAATGAGGGAATAATGGCTCCTTATTTCATAGATTCAGTTAAGCTTAATTTTCATGCACAAATACATTATTACAGTCTACTCACAAACTTTTCAATGATTCTTCTATCGACAAGGCCGGTGTAGGTTTGTTTATTAATTCTTCGATGTGGATGTCCCTCAATATTGAATTACAATTTTCTTCTCTTTCTCCAGCAACCGAGGAGTTATTGCATTGAGCAATTGCAAAAGTAAACTTGATAGACGACGGTTATGTCCCACGAATTGCTTGAAAGTTTGCCTGTTTTCAGCTGTTTTCATTGAGAAAGCTTGGCATTTGAACGAGTTCACACTGACTCAAAATTCCTTCAACTGGACTTCCAGGTTTTTGCTCTTTTTTTCTAGTCAACGAGCTCATTGAATATTTAAGAGGAGGATTTCATTCTCAGCTTTTCTTGTCAAAACACCGGTTTGAATCCCTTCGGCTTTTCACTTTTGTTTTGAGTAGTCTGTAGAGGTATGTTCTGGCTTCTTTTGAGCTTTTACATCATGACACATCGTTTTTTTCTTCCAATACAWTCCTTTTTGAGCTATCTTTAAATTATGGTGAATACTTATCGAGCATTTCTAAGCTGTCATTAGATTATGCTTGCCGTCCTCATGAGTAACCAGTTGAGTCAACCACTTCCCTCGCCGTTCATACATCAAATCCAAGTGCTTTTTAAAGTAGCATTTTCGGTGGAGCTAACATCAGCAAAATATCCGACTGTTCGTTCAAAATCTGTGCATAGCGCCCGCCGCTTCTGAAACTTTTGTTGTTTAATGAAAAAAAACCAATAGAGTAGTTCAAATGTTGTGCGATTATTTGCAGTCCCGAACATCCAGTTGACACGGGCAACTATCGCAGGATAATGCTCTATATTGGGCTACTCTATTGTTTGCATTTGTGTAAAAAGATAAATTTAACACCGTAAAAAAGTAGGTACTACGGCATTTCCAACTTACTGGGAAGTTCACCATGAATAGTTAATTATATAAACTTGACCACATTATTCCTTAAGTTTATATAATAGAATACCAAAAAAGTCATCATAAAAATGACCAAGTTTGCAAAAAATTGAGGGTTTTTTTTAATTGAGATCTTGCAAATGATTCTTCCACCTTATAATGCAATGCGGCCTGKGTCTCTTCCCGACGAGTTTCGCCCGCCTCGTGCATGTTGGCGGGCGAAGCTAAGATGTCTGCTCAAGGTGAGAATATTATATAGCAAAATGTTTTTTTCTTTTTCAAGCTTGTAAGCCATAATTTTTAACAACATTCGCGTATTATATTACGGTGCATATTTATCATTTAGCAGGAACCAAGTCGTTCAGTTTCACGATGTGCTAAAACGATCGGTAAAACAAAWTGTGTTCCCGCCACTCGTTAGAAGGCATCCAACATGCTAAAATTCACATATTTGGTTTATTCTAAACTTTTTCCGATTGTCTCGAAATCAGTAATTGAAATATTTGGATGCTACTTGGCCTTCTTAATAACAATATATTTTGTTAAAAAAAAGAAAGCTTATTCAGCTCCAGACTTGACACTTAACTTAAGATTAAGCTTAAAGTAAGTTTTAAAAGCTTAACTTACCAGCAAGTTAATAGCATTTGTCATTTTTTAAGATTCTGCTGCCACGGAAACTGAGAAACCCGAAGAAATGCAAACAAAGTAAGCTAGGTTCTATAATAATGTATATTAAGTATATAAGACCTTAATATCACTGTTTTGAAGTGTGGACTCACTTTAGAA